AGCCTCCAAAGCCCAGGGCACTCCATCAAGAAGGAACTCACAAATCATTCATTCTTCACCCTTGCTCTTAGTAACGCTAGCTCTTTAGTCCTCACTCACAGTGTCATGAAATTGGACTTTAAATAGGCAGAATTAAAAACAGGAAGCCTGGAATTACACATTAACCCAATAACTGTATCTACCCTGATGTCTACAGAAAACCTGGGCACAGTCATGAAATAATGTATCTTCCATGCAAATGCCATCCATCAAATGTGATATGAGGGGAAGGGGAGGAGGTCCACGGATAAGTCTTAGGGAAGTCAACTTTTTAAAGAGACACAGCCTTGCTCACTTGCATAGCTCACTGCAGCCTGAAACTCCCAGGCTCAAGCAATCCTCCCTCCTCAGCTATCCAAAGTGCTGGGATTACAGGCTTGAGTCACTGCGCCCAGCCTGGACGTCAACATTAAAATTTAGTGCAGGCTGAGTTCAGTGGCTCAGCCTGTAATCCCAGCTCTTTGGGAGGCCAAGGCGAGCGGATTGCCTGAGCCCGTGGGCTCGAGACCAGCCCGGACAACTTGGTGGGACCTCATCTCTACATTAAAAATAAAAAATAAATTTGCTGGGCGTGGTAGCACACACCTGTAGTTCCAGCTACTTGGAAGGCTGAGGCGGAAGGATCGCCTGAGCCCAGCAGGTTGATGCTGGGGTGGCCACAAGCATGCCACTGCACTCCAGCCTTGTCAATGGAGTGAGACTCCAACACAAAAAAAAAAAAAAAAAGTTCAGTCCAGAGAGGTCCTCCTATAATAAATAATACAGTTATACCCTAACACAGACTACAAGATCCTAAAACCGTGCCAGAACACTGCCAAACAATTTGTAAGAAAATACTTATCGTAACGGCATATACAGGGAGTGCTAAAAACATGTATACATGTTTAAGAGATGTTATCTATGTATTACTTTTTGAAGTTGAATTGAATTACAATAGCGATGCATAGTATGACATTCACTCAACCATGAGTCTGCCATTTTCTTTGTCCTGTCTGTTGCATGGTGACGCTAGCATTCATTTGATTAACACCATCTTCAGAGCAAACGTCATACTTAAAATGTATACCCATTTTTGGGGGCACCCCTTATGCCTGTATTATGAAAATTCTGTACTTGAATGTTTCTCCACTGGCTTGCATAATTACTAACACTCACCATACTATACTCCTGAAGTGATAAGATTACAATAAAAATCAATACAGGCAAGTCATAATTAAGTTGTGATGTAGGAAGGGACCTCACAGTCTCCATGACTTGACCCATCGCCACGGACCGCAGCACTCCTCTCCCATTCTCAAAGCCCTCTGCCCTCACCACTGACACACGCACCAGGCCACAGGGGTTACATGTGGATCACCTTCACAACAGCCCACATTCAGAGCTCAACAGCCTTAGGCTGGGATGTCCTCTAGGATTACCACTGTTCATCTCTCTGCCTCCGGTCTCTTTTGCAGATTTACCTTCCCCGAACAGCACTTCCCTGTGCAAAACTTAAAACCTAGAGGTCAAAAATCATACCAGTTTAGGTCTTCAAGGCCTTTTATTATTCACGAATAGATCTCATTTCTGTTTATTTCCAACAAGTCTACTTACTGAACCCTTTGTTGTGATCACTGATCTTAAGATATACCAATGAGATACAAATAGCCCTTTAAGGGCAAAAAGAAAACTATACTAAATATACATCTCAATTTTAAGATACATTCTAGTCATGATTCAACTAAGCTAATAGCCCCTTAAAAATAGGCTAATTGAGTAAGTACCCTAAAGTGAGTTTTATATTTGGTTCTGGAATGCAGTAGCAAGAACTTAAAATGTATGTAATAAGGCAAAAACGATGCCACTAATCGTTTGTTTTTACATTCTGCACTCTGGTATATACACTTGACCCCTACAACAGTAATTTGAATTAATCCAGAAACGCAATTCCAACAGTCTCCTTTCTTCAGAAACTTGCAAGCAAATCTTACCACAATAAATGTGAGCTCGCTGCCCCTTGTTAATATTGGAGCCATCTATCTGAGAACGTCTTTGCTCTGCCATCAGGAAGCAAGCTCTAGGAAGGCAAGGGCTTTGTCTTGCTGACCAGTAAAGCCTGGCTGCCCCAAATGACACATGGAACATCGTAGACACTCTCAGATTTGGTTGAGTAAATGTGCCTGGGAAGCCCAGCACCTCTAAATAGCAGACAGCAAGATGCCTGCTCATCAGTAAGTCCCAGTGAGTCCTTGCTTGTCACAAGCAAGGAGCCCTGTGAAACCCAGGACGCAGCCACAGCATGGGACAGGCCTCATCTCCAGCTTTGCAGGACCCCAGCTCTTTGAAGGACCCCAGATGCACCTAGTTCATGGTTTATTTCTCAAAATCAATGTATGTGTCTTACACGGGGTCTCACTTTTTTGCCCAAGCTAGTCTTGAGCTCCTGGGCTCAAGCAATCTTCCTACCTCGGCCTCCGAAAGGGTGAAATGACAGGCGTGTGCCACCACATCCTGCCATGCAGCTTGCTTCTTCTGTAACGTGTCAGGATGATTATGTTTCAGAAACTGGCACTGGAACCAAAGTATACTGTTTTATGCCTGCCCCTTGCCTCAACTGTTTTTTAAAAATTTTATATGTACATTCAAAAGTATAGTAGTTTCCAGGCATGGATCAGGAGGTGATTTGCTATTTCAAAGATTTTTTAAAAATCCATCAGGCCACGCCCCACTTCGGAGCATTTCTGGAATACTCCTAGATGTCATGACCCAGTGGCTGGCTAACTGACAAAGCAGAGGAAGATACTGTTTTTCCCTGAGGTGGTGGTTATTTCAAAGGCACTCTGTGTTAAATGCATCAAGGATAAGACAACAAAGCTCCTTGCCTACAACTGACAGTAATATACTGTTTCCTGGCATTCCTGTTATATGCTTCAGAAAAGCATTTACATGTATATAACTATTAATAAAAAATCGAGACTCAAATGTCAACATGAGAAAACTGCCAAACATCTTATTCTTTTCTATTTCTTGTATCTTGGTATTTCAGGTAGAGTCTAAGGAATAGACAGAAGAGAAATGGTATTGTCTGACAGTTCTCACAATCCTCTACTGTAAAATGATCGTGGCAAGCTTGCTGGGTGTGGTGGTTCAAGCCTGTAATCCCAGCACTTTGGGAGGGAGAGGCAAGAGAATTGCCTGAGCTCAGAGGTTCGAGACCACCCTGAGCAACATGGAGAGACCTTGTCTCTACAATAAATTTAAAAAATAGCCAGGCGTGATAGCATATGCCAGTGGTTCCAGCTACTGGGAAGGCTGAGGCGGAAGGATTGCCTGAGCCCAGCAGGTCAAGATTGTGGTGGCCAGGAGCGGCCACTGCACTCCAGTCTGGGCGACAGAGTGAGACTCCAACTCAAAAAAAAAAAAAAAAAAAGATTGTGGCAAGTTTAAACAGTATACTAGAGCAAAGCAAGCCAAGCACTGGCAAGCCACTGTCCAAACCGGATGGTTCCAGCAGCTCTCTCCTTCCTGTCTGGTCCTCAGCCAACCTGCTGTCAACGGCTCCCTAGGAGAAGCTCCCACGGGCCCCCTACACCTCTCTGTGCTCCTTCCCAGCAGGCCTTTGCGAGTCTTCTCTGTAACATCTCCCTTGGCCCTTCTGTCCCATTCTCTCCTGAACCCACTCCAAGCAAGCTCCCCTTCCTCCCCCAGCCAAGACTGCTCACTAGAGTCTCCTACCCTATCCAAGGGCCTCCCTCTCAGTCCTCACCTTGCCTGCCCTGCCCATTGCCTCAGCCACAGGTGCTCGTCCCTGCCCATCACACCTCCTTTCCACAGAGTTCACATGGCATAACCTCTCCGTGCTCCTCTTTTCTAGGAGACAGAGCTTCCTGGCCTCCCCTCCCCTCCCTTTCCGGTTTCTATACTTTGAAATATCCAGAGGCCCCTGCACCCCTTCTTTATTTGACCCCCGGCACTCTCTAGTCCCCTCTGCCACGTTTTCCTCTCCAGACTTTAATGCTGCCCGATAGACAGTGTGGCTCACTGACTTTATTTCTCTACCAACTGGAACCTTTCATGAGGGTAAGGACTGCTGTCTGTTTTGCTTATTTTGTATTCCCAGTCACTAGAACAGACCAAGCTCCTTGCAGGAGGCCAACAAATATTTGCAGAATGAACGAACTAATAAGCAAAAACAAGAGTGGTAACAGTAACAGCCACTCTGTACTAGAAGCCTGTCAGTCAGACACCCCAACAAGCATGTTACATCCATTGCACTTAATTTTCCAATAACCCTATGAGCTCTCTGAGGCTGGGGGGGGCAGGGATGGAGGGGATGGGGATGAGGATGGTTAACAGACACCAAATCACAAAACTACTAAGCAGCAGCACAGTGACTCAAACCCAGGAGTGATGCGCTCAGCTCCTAAACGGCACTCATTTTTACTAGAGTGGGATTTTATTAGTTTTGGGATAAAGCCAACTCTGCTATTTGAACAGTTAGCAATCAAAAAGTTCCCTACAGCTGTGAATTAATCTCCATTTTCTTTCTGAAGACAAACATTCGTTCAGTAACATCAATTTAACAATGTTAGAGGAGACTGTTTTAAGGCTGTGTTCCACACTGCCATTTTCAGCAACATCAGTGCAGGTGAGAAGGCACACCAATCTCTTGCGAAGTGTTCACGGCAGCAAGTAAACTTTCAGTCGCTCCCCTGTCCATGAAAAGGCTCAAGCCAGGAGTTTCCAAACCCTAGAAGCTTTCTGCTTCCTGAAAACAAGATTCCCAGGCCCAACTCCGGAGCAACTGAATCAAAATCTCTAGGAAACAGGGCCCAGGCACCGAGTATTTTACAAAGCTCCCCAGGAAACCCTGGTGGTTAGCCAAGTTTAGGAAACCCTAAACAAACCAAAGCTGGCAAGAGACTGATCTCCCGAGCACCTGGCTCACCGTTTGACAATGACCAAGTCTCACCAGTACTGACCTTCTTGGAAAGAGGAATAATGTTGCTGGGTCGGACAAGCCTCCGTTTCTTACAGCTCAGCACAGGGCGTGTCCGGGCTGCCACACAGGTGCCATCCGATGATGCAGAAAGCAGGTTCAGTCGCTGCTTTTTATGTAACTGCTCCTCAGCATCAGAGCTGTCACCTGGAACGTGGTCGGCCAAGACAGGCTGAAGCCTATATGGGGAAGAAAAGCATTCTCAGAAGTCATGAAGAAACAAAGCCGGTGAGATAGGCTCAACCTCCTCTGCTCACCACGTTCACAGACACAAGGAAGCCTTCAAGAGCAGATGTAGAACTCTCTTAATATCTGCACATCTTGGTGCACATGAATTACATCACATCTGAGGCCAAGAATCAGTAAGTGGACTCAAGTTCTAGCGACTGAGTTACACAGCAAAAACACGAGTGAGGAAAGTCTCCAGAACTGCAATTGGCTAGAAAATGACGACTTCTGCAAATGTAAGTGGGCAGCCTTAGAACGTGCTCTCCTATGAAGCCTGAATTTTGGGACATGCACACACAGTTCACTTATGTAGGGTTCCTTGACTTTTCATAGATGGAGATTTATAGACACAGACTCTAGAGAGCTGATCTGTTCCAGAGCAGAGGAGCTTAGAGAAACCCTTCTGAGGAATTCCTTCAAGACTATGACCAGTAATAACAATTCATAGTAACTGCAGGACCATTTACTTTTCTCCATGCCCAATCCATTTCAGACCACAGTAGGTAACAGAAAAATATACGACTATGTTAATTAAAATATGCCCGTTCACAGTAGGAAACATGCAAAATGTCACCAATGAATGGTAAGGATCCTGCTTCTCTGAACCAGCATTGGTCCTGGCTAGAGATAACCAGGAGCTCCAGTGCTCAAAGCCGGCTGAGGGAAGCGGAAGAAAGGCTGAGGCTTACGTGTTAATCACTCCATTGACAGGTCTCAGGGCTCCACATGACTTGGTAGACAGTGACTCTGAAAGATGACTAACAGCGGCACCGTGGTTTTCCAGTGGCTGAGAAACAGACTCAACCTAAATGAGGAAAACATACAAAATACAAATATCAACGCGAACCCAACAGCATCCTTGCCTGAAAAGCAGCACCACTTCATTGGCATGAAGATAATTTGAAAGACAAAGCCTGTATAGATAAGGAGAAAGAAAATAACTAAAGTAATTGTCTTTGGCTTTGGGGAAAAAGTGGATGAGGAATCCAAGTACTTTCCAGACTACAAGTAAATATCTACTGACAGGGAAATGACCACAGCAATCTATGGAACAGAAGCAAAGCAAAACCACAGTGACAAGGGCCTTCAGCTGAGGACCAAGGAGGACACAATAACATCAGCACCAGGACAACTGAGGGGAAATGTAAATACAGTTAATATCTGCTTTTACAGTGTGTGCCAAAAGCTTGTTTTCCAAGAACTATACCTTGTGTAAACACACACACACGTTTCTGTGATAGAAAACAAAATTAATAAAATCTCAATGAATCTAATTACCTCATGCTATCACGTAAATAACTACTGTCTTTAGACCACTGAAATCAGATTTATGTATAGAACATGTGAAGAAATAACAGAGAAAGTAAGAATATGGAAAAGTGTCAATTTCAGTGTTTAAAACAAATTATTTACTGGCTTAAAAGATACAGGGTCCCTCAAGGCACAGGAGTTGCTGGTGTGGCTGGACACCACAGAAAGGCTGTGGTCTTTGTCTCCTTGCACTTGAACCAACCGTGGGGTGTTCTGACAGTCTACTTCCTGTGACTGCTACCAGTGTATTTCAAGGTCAATACTATCTTGAAGTGCAATTCTTTTTTATTTTTACACCATCAAAGGATCCGTGGACCTGAAAGTAGTCCCAGACAAGTACCCAAAAGGACAACAGATTGGGAAGGTACTTAAAGTGTTAATATAAATGTACCCTAAAAGCCTGATCAAGATACATATACTCTGTGTTACAGACAAGTCAAGTGAGTATGCCATAATGTATGAACACTGGGACGATGCTGTCTTGTGGGATACACTGTACATCTACTAAGTATCACAAATAGTCCAAACAATTAGATGAGTTAATGCTGTCAAAATTATGGTAAATTTGGTACACACTCATTGCCTTGCATTTTATACTAATTTCCATTAAGTAGCAAGAGCTATAGAGATATTAGTACTTTCTGATAAAATACTGTAACCAATCTTAAGAACAAACCCTAATGGAATAAATCAACACAACCCCCAAATCACAGCAATGACCTCTATCAGTAATTCAGATGCCCAATATCTGAGGAATGGTTATAAATTGTGGTACAGCAAAATCAAAATATTACAAAGAACTATATAAAAGGAATGTATTGTCTATGCCAGATGAGTACTCAAAGAGAAAAAGAAATAATTTTTTATGTAGACAGGTACAAACTGTTCTGTAAAAAAGGATAAATTCAAAATATTTTAAATATAGTTGTGATGCTTACATACACAGATAATGACAAGAGAAAGAGTTATAGCAGTAGAACTATGTTGTAGTTTTACTTATATTTAGGTCATATATTTACAATTAAAAAACCAGAGACACCCAAGCATCCTGCTGAATGCTAATGAAGATTTACTATGTAGGGGACCCTCAAACACCCTAAGCAAATATGGCAATGCAAAGGGCTGGAAAACAGCAAGAAGTGAAGACTCAGGTTGGTATGGACGACTTCAGGCATGTTACAGTTTTTCTAGACTTCAGAAGTTCTGGTTCTGACGAAGACATTTCCTTTCAACACAAAACTGCCATGTCTATGAGCTTCTTGCCGGCATACCAATCTTAAGAACTTCTGTCAATTTTACACCACTTAAAGCTTTTAGCATCAAATTATGGCACTGACCTGATTTATAAGGGGGTGCCAAAAAAATGCATCCACATTTAAAGTAAGATGCTCACTTAAAAGATGGCACTGATTAATTAATTAATGCTAGTGTCACCATGTGACAGGCGGGACAAAGAAAACAGCAGAAGCACAGTTGAGCGAACGTCACAGTACACTGCTATTAATTCAACTTTGAAAATCAATACATAGATAACATCCCTTAAATGTGTATACATTTTTTGGGCACCCCTGTATATCTGCGTTTTCCACAGGCACTATGTGTAAGTAATAGGTTGACTCTCCATTTGATTAGGCTTTCTAGTAGAGATTATGAGATTTAACTGCAGGGACACCTGCCAAAACAAAATGTTGCCAGTCTTTGACAAGAGCTCATTTCAAAACGTTTATCTTTCTTATAGAAAGTCTGAAGACGAATAAATATCGTAAAGTCATTTGTAACCTCACCACACACAGCTGGCTACTGCAGACAGCCTGTCTTGCCGCTCAGCCCACAGGCGTAGCCTTGTAAATGCTATTATTCTTGAATGGAAATGCTGCTGATTTTTTTTAGAACTCTGAACGTTTCTGAGGGTAATTCAGCCCCCGAGTCAAAACTGAAGAGGCAAAACATTAGTGACATGGACGTGTTGTCAAGTATGTGGGAGCACACAGAGACCAAAAGCATAAGCATCAGGAACCGGGAGCCTGGCTTCTAGGCCCCACCCCACAAGGAAGCCCTGGAAATGTAGGAGAGTTCTGCTCAGAGACCCTGGGAAGCACTGTCTGAAGCTGAGATGCAAGAGCAGGGCCAGAGGGCAAGCAGGTTCACTCATCACCAAATGCCAAAAGCTTGGGAGATTAACCCCAATTAAGGGATCCATTTGGACAAAGAAAAACACAACACATAAGCACATGTAATTTCACCTGGCTCCTTCAATGCATTCAACATTGCCTGAAGATAGAATGAATACCTGCTATTCACCCATGGTGTAAAAGGCTGCAAACCAGAGGGTAGAGAAGCGTTAACCTACGCCTCAGAATGTTAAAAGCACACACCAATTCCAGCTTGCCCATTACTATCTGCAGTGGTTTACCGCACTAGTGTGTTTGGAAAACTTAGGTGTGACTCAGACACGTGTTATCCAACAAGAACATTCTCCCGCTCAGAAAACAGGGATTCTCACAGACGCTTCCACTTGAATGTTAGCTCGTGCTCAGGTGTGTTCCAAGGACTGATGTGTCCCACAGCCAGAAGGAAGAGTAGAAAAGCCACTGTGGTGGCCAGAGCACCCTGTCATCCTGTCTTCCAAGGCAGGGCCCCAGCAGGTCACCCCTTGGAGCAGTCTTAGAAGCAGCAGGGAGGACTGCCAAGCTGATTCGCCTGACTGAAAGGGCCAGGTAGAAGGTGTAAGATGATAAGATTCAGACTAATCATTCACAGAAGGCAGGCATCTGTCTGACTCAGTACTCCTCCCTCTTAGCCCGACAAAGAGCCCTTGGAGAAAAGCTAGGACTAAAGGAAGCACTTTTGTGAGGTGAGGTTTCCTGGGGTCTAAGAGCCAATAACTACTAGATTTGTTTTTACCAAAAAGTAGAAAAAGTAAAGGGCAAAAACACAGAGCCACACACTTCTTAGAAGCACACAATTACTATCATGTCACATCGGCCTGAAGTACCACTTTCTTAAATGCATTGCATTTGTTGGGCCAGAAAATTTAACAGCGTGGTTTGGTGAGTTATTTCCTTTCTGACAAACATTAAAATGGAAAGAAAAGGCCAGCTGGAGGCAGGAACTCAACTTTCACGCCTGCTCAAAATTAGTTTTTAACTTTGTAGGAATTATTACATGTCTCAAACCCCCACTCAATGATACTCACAATAATGTTGCTTGATTCACCAAAATACTGCTGGTCTATAAACATTCCAGCAGTCACTTCCATTAACCAGCACCACAGCCACAAAACTGCACCAGACCAGGAACAGAATATTCCAAAACCTCCACTCTCACCAAGTGACATGACCTACCCTCAATGTCAATTTCTGCATTATGCAGGGCCAGGCACCTCACTTTCCTATGCCTGTAGGTTGAGGATAAAGGACAAACTATATAATTATATGAGAGCAATTTTGAACTAGTGCATTTTTACAAATGTGACCAGCACAATGCTGTTATAAATCCAGTGGCCCTTAACCCTAAATTTTCCATTTACCCACAATGCTGAAGAAAAGCATCTAGAATCTAAAGAGATACAGCTATTGCAGAAACTGTCCTATCATTTCTGATTGTTTTACTTATTTATCCACAGCCCCATTTATTTTAAAAAGCTTAATGATGCTGCGTTTTCTAATATGACGGATCAAGTATTTCCTCAGTAATACCTCAAAGCCCTCACCAGGCCAACAGACCACAGTCATCGTCGCTGGTGACTACAAGATTTCAAGAAAGAAAAGGTATTCCTGCTTAACCAATGGTACAAAGAATGTATCTTGGGCTGTTTATAGCCTACATTTTTAGCATGCCTATCTTCTGAGAAAGCGTTAGTTCTTAATAGTTCACTTGTTTTTCCCAAGATTTCTGTAAAGTAGGATGAGTCAGGAAAGGGTAAACGAGTAAGATTCATTTTACAAACAGAAACTAACACAAATAACATTACTTGTCAACAGTCATAGATGTAATTAATGCTTTTGCTAAACAAAACCAAACCTTCCTCAATTTTACATCTAGTTTTTTAAAAAATATTTACCCCATAGCTGGGCTCAGTGGCTCTGACAGGCTTCCAAGAGACAGACAGGCTTCCATGAGACAGAAAGACTTCCAAGAGACTGGGCTCGGTGGCTCAGCCTGTAATCCCGCTCTTTGGGAGGCTGAGGTGAGTGGATTGCCTGAGCCTGTGGGTTGGAGACCCACCTGGGCAACTTGGTGAGACCTCATCTCTACAATAAATTAAAAAATGAGCTAGGCGTGGTAGCACGCGCCTGTAGTTCCAGCTACTCAGAAGGCTGAGGCGGAAGGATCGCCGGAGCCCAGCAGCTCGAGGCTGCGGTGGCCGGGAGCAGCCACTGCACTCTAGTCTGGGTGACAGAGTGAGACTCCAACTCAAAAAAAAAAAAATTCTTCCAAGAATGGGACATTAAAAAAAAATGCATTTGTCTGCTCATTTGTACAAAAGAAATA